AAAMMAAAAAAAAAAGATGAGGCCTTATTGGATTATAAAGGAATAAGAAGAAATTTCTCCCTCTTCTGAAGGCCTTGAAGCAGAGTGGTCTGTTATAATAATTGTTTAATATGATATCATCCCTTTGGAATTGAAATTCAAAATCATTATAATCTTTGGTTTCTAAATACTTTAATTCCTCCTCTTCTTTCAGAAGTGAATGACCCTCCTTCTTTAGTGAAAGAAAAAATGGACCTAATACAATATGAATTATCAAATCATGGTAGGACAAAGAGAAGCGTTCATCTGAGTTTCACCATCACAGTGAACTTCAATAGTCTATGAGTACTTTTACACCACTAATCACTTAAGAAATCTTCCTGTAACTCACTAGCTGTCTACATACTTTCCTCATTGCCACCTTCATTTCTTGATTCCTTAGTGTGTAGATGACAGGATTCAGAAAAGGTGTGACAAGTGCATCAAATATAGCCAGGAACTTATCCAGGTGTGTGGAGGAAGATGGCTGAGCATAGATTAATATTAAAGGACCAAAGAACAAGACTACCACAGTGATGTGAGCTGACAGTGTGGACAGAGCCTTGGAGGAACCAGCAGAAGAGTGTTTCTGAACAGTGAGAATGATGACAATATAGGAAATGATCAGTATGAAGAAGGAGCCCACAGAGAAGAAACCACTGTTGGCTGTGACCATGAGTTCCAGTCTGTAGGTGTCTGTGCAGGCAAGTCTGATGAACCGAGGAAGGTCACAGTAAAAGCTGTTCAACATGTTAGGGCCACAGAAGGGCAACTTTACTACAAAAGCCAATTGAACCACTGAATGAATAAGGCCAACCACCCAGGCAGCCACTAAAAAGAAGATGCACATCCGTGGGCTCATGATGGTCAGGTAGTGCAGAGGCTTACATATGGCCACATATCTGTCAAAGGCCATGGCTATAAGGAGCACCAACTCTACACCACCAATGAGATGGATGAAGAAGATCTGGGTGATGCAGCCTCTAAAGGAGATGACTTTGTGCTTCCTGAAAAGGTCATAAATCATTTTGGGGGAAATGACAGAAGACAGACCTAGGTCAATGAAGGACAGGTTAGCCAACAGAAAGTACATGGGAGAGTGTAAATATGGCTCAGAAGCCACTGTGAACACAATGAGGGAGTTTCCCATCATGCTTGCTGTAAAAAGCATGGAAGAGAACACAAAGAGGAGTAATTGGATACCCCAGGAGTTGGTGAGTCCCAGGAATACAAACTCCAACACCACTGAGTGATTTGCTCCATCCATTGGCTTTGTTGGAAATGCTACCTGAAGCAGGATAGTATGAGAAAATGTAAACTATGTTAGTTATATTAATAGTATAGAAGGAGATAAGTTAAATTTATGAAAGTTTACTTACACGTTAGCATTCAAACTGACTTCACATTCAAATTTGGTCACTGTTATGTGGATCTCCTCTCTACCACTTACGTTCTGTCTGTATGTAAATATAACTCTCTGCTTCCTCCCATCTAGATGATGTAATAGTCCTCATGAGATACAAGATGATCAACATAAATAACAGAACTCAAAACAAAACCCTTCTGATTTGGGTTCAAAGCTAATATGAGAAGCTCCAGTCACATGAAACTAGTTGATCCATTTCCAAGCCAATAAAACTTCACTTAGGAAACATATTTTTTATTTCCTCCTTCCCACTCCTTACCTATGGGAGTTTTACCTATGTTAATCTTCAATGTTAATTTAAGTTTACCCCATCTGTGGTATAGTTTACTCTCCCTCATATTATAGTGAATGGGTTACAAATCTACCTGAAGGCAGGCATTATGACTTATTCATATTTGGACTCTCCAAAGCAATTAAAAAGTGGTCCAATGAAATGTACAGATCTATGAACTATTGCCATTTTGCACCATGTTAGGTACAAAAATTGAGAATATGTGTATACACCTTTCTAGAAACTAGCATTATAGTAATATCCTGTTTCTGATTTTGTGTTCCCAAAAGAATCCATTCATGAAGGACTAGAATTAAAAGTGAAAAACAACTGGCCCCTCAATATAGGTAATTTGATAAATGCTGCATGAGAGTACTTAATTCATATTCTGAAGACTTTTAAGCTATGAAAAATCACCATAATGTAATAGAAAACATTCCTGCAAACTTCTATGTAATGATTTATCACATTATCTTGGAAATTATTTAATTTCATTTAGAGAAKCAGCATAACAAAAGAATATGGGTTTTAGATACACAAAACCAAGATTTGCTCCATCATTTCATCCACTGACATGTTGATCTTGGGCAAGTTACATAAATTCTTTGAACTTAAGCTTATTTGTGAAACTGTAATTGTAATTAGAATATCTTAATCATATGACTATAGTACACATTTAGTAAATATTTATTTCTCTTTATTTTACTTGTCCAAAACAAGCATGTAGTTTAAGAGAAAATGAATGAATATGAAAATAATATGCTGTTGGATAGCAGAAAACATCAAAATTCCATATCATAAAAGATATTTCAAAAAAGAACTGTGGTCATATAAAATTCACCTTGTTTTGTTGAAAAATTATTGTATAAATTAAACTGATTTGCTTTCAAAATGCACTGTAATTCTTAGTAATGCATTGCACAAATGTAATTTATTATATGTATAATTCCTCATCCCCAACTAGATTACAGACATGACATTAGAGATCACATCTATATTATTCAATCCAATGTATCAAAAATTTAGAATCACTCCAAATACATAATAGGGATGAATGAATATATGCTGAATAAAATCCACTTGTTTGGAGTTATAGATGGATCAGATGAGGAAAGATGGAATTAAAAATTTCAAAACTGTCTTATCAAAAGACAGACTAGAACTAAAAGGAAATCTTCAACCTAGACTTGAGGAGACTTGAATAATAAGGTCAGCATTAGGACCTACTGATAAACTGAAGATAAATAATTTAGGAAATTTTCTAATCATCACAGATCAGGAAATTCATTCCCAAATGTGTTAAATAACTTTACCAAAATCAGAACTTTACTTAGTGACAGAGCTTAGACCACAACCAAAGTCTATTGAAGTCAAGACCAGTGCTCTCTCTAATTCCCTGCCCTCTTATTTATCTGTGACTTCATGTAGAGACAACCTGAACAAAAGCATGTGGCAAGGTGATGACAGAAACTGTTGGTGAAAGCTTTTTTAAAAAAATAAGTGAACAAGTAGCTCTAAAATAAGCTCCTCACTGCTACTTATTGACTTATGAGTACTCCCTTAGCCACCACAATCGACCATCCCACCCAACTATCAGCTTTTTAATGTACCACAGTGTCTTAAGAAAATTGACAGTTCACCAAAGCAATTATTATTATTCTAATAATTAACAATTATTATTATTCTAATTATTCAAGCAAATACTCTTATTTGAAATAGATAGGTTTCTGGATGGACTCATAACAAAAAAAAATTGTGGTTTAATACTCAACTTTCTACTGATTCCGTGAAAAGGTTTCAGCATGCTGTAGAAGCCTCCATAATGTTGACTGTGTTCAAATTTGTCCTTCTTCCCTTCCATTATCTCCAACCATTGCTCTCCTCTATCTGGGAGAAAAAAATACTATCCATACTGGAACAGCTAAACAAATGCTTTAGTAGACTCCCATTCCAAATAAAATCAATATCTCTCTTTCTCTCTCTCTCTCTCTCTCTCTCTCTCTCTCTCTCTCTCTCTCTCTCTCTCTCTCTCTCTCTCTCTCTCTCTCTCTCTCTCTCTCTCCAAGAGGGTTTAAACCCAGGGGTGCTTAACCACCACTGAACCAGCTCCACAGTCCTTTTGATTATGCTCTAAAACCACTTTTTAGAGACTGATTGTTCTCAAGAAAGGTATTGAGGAGTTTTTCTTGAATGCATTATTTATGCTTTTTTAGCTAATTATAGATACATGTAATAAGGTCTAGTACTTTTATCATTTTTATTGTGATTAATCCAAATACTTGATCTACATAGAATTAACCAATTCTCCAGAGTTCCCAAGTATTTCCCCCTGTATAGATAGAGGACTTAGTGGTAACTAGGGTGTCAAATAAAAGAATTATCTATTCAATGAGACAGACTTACAAACAGCTCCTAACTTTGGAAATCTAAACCATTGTTCATTGATCCCAGTGACCAGGAAGGCTGAGGCAGGAGGATTACAAGTTTGAGGCCAGTCTCCGCAATTTATCAAGACCCAAACCAAATTAGTGAAAACTTGACTCAAAACAAATAAAAAAGGGGGGCTGGGAATGTAGCTCAGTGGGAAAGTACCCCCTGAGTTCAATCCTCAATGTGTACACACACACACACACACACACACACACACACACACACACAAAGAAAAAAGTCAAATTGTCACAAACTCCTTCTTTGTACCCATGTAAACATCTGCCTTCCCTAATTTAAGACTATTTCTGCTTTTATGTTTTATAACTATGTGCAATATAAATATTTTTCAGTGTTTCTTTCATGCACACAGTTTTTTTATGCGCATAGACTCCACAAAATCAACCTCTTGCATTCTRGTTCCAAGACTCCAAAACTCAATTTCTTTTATATTTCATCAAGATATATTTCTAACCCACATCTCCTTTCTACTGCCCCTCCATCCCAGAACTTGTCAACATTCTCCAAAGTTGTCTTCTTTAAATATACAAGTCCTTCATTTTACTTACCTTTTAGAAACAAAATTAATACAAAACACTGAGAGGCATAAGCACATAAGAGAACAGAAAAACTAATTCAATCTCCTATACTTCTTGTTTTGTACTATTTTAAATTATCTACATCTTATTTTAAAACAGAATTTATACTGCAAGCAGCATATTCACCTTTAGATCTTTTGCAGGCTCTTCTGTTCTTCGGATATTTCTTCCATCCTGAAAACTTAACAAGTTCCTAAAAAGTTTACTTCTTTCACAGAAGGAAATCAGTTTATATCCCATCTCTTTTTTAATTATTAGTTGACAACTACAAATTTTATATACATATAATGTACAAAACAATGTTTTGACCCATATAAATACTATGGAATACCTAACTCGAAATATTTAAAATATGCATATGTTATAACTGTTGAAGAACATGAAACATCTACTCTCATAGCAATTTTCATTTTGTATTGTTTTGTTTGTTACTGGGGACTGAACCCAGGGATGTTACACAAGCAATGACAACACTCTTTTTTACTTCTATTATGATCCAGGAACTTGCTAAGTTGGCCAGACTGGCCTTGAATGAGTGATCCTCCTACCTCAGCCTCTAGGGTTGATAGGATTGCAGGCATGCACCATAGTGCCCAGCTCTCATGACAGTTTTCCAACATACAACATATCATCGTTAACTACAGTCATCCTGATGTACAACACATCTCTTAAACTTATTTCTTTGGTCTGATTTTATATTATTTGACCAATATCTCACCACCCCTTCAACTTCCAGAACCACCATTTTATTTTCTGTGTCTGTCAGTTCAACTTTTTTATATTCCACATGCAAGTTACATGACTCACATCTCATCTATAAAGCCACAATAAAGACAAAGTTATACCAACCCTTGTTCTTAGTTTCATAAGCCACAAATTTTTCTCACCTGCTCATAAAATCATAAAGGATAAGTACTTTTAATATAGTTATCACTGGAAACAATGATTAACAGCAAGATGAATCCAAAGCATCATAAAAATTCTTGAGTTTTTAACATTGTTTATATTACCCAAACACATTATAATACTGAACTTAGGTGTAAGTTCGGCTCAGCTAATCATTTCTATTTTCACAATTATTTCATTTTTTCATAATAATTCTCCAGTAGTTCAATATGTCATGGGAGACACGATCTCCTCTGCTTTAAGATGACAGTTGTGCACTGCAGGAGATGATACATGGCYATAGGAYTTCCAGTAACAAAAAAAAAAAAAGCTAAGCTGTACTCCCTATTATTAAATTGATTTTCAATCTTCCAGTTAACCTACAGAAATAAATATTCACGAGTGTCTTCCTGTTATCTGAGATTATCCTGTGTTCTCTAACACTAAGAGCTGTAACATTCTGCCATAGGTAGAAATGAAGGTCCAGGACAGTGGCTAAGTGATACTACATAGACATGAGTTTAGAACATCCTCATGAGTCAAAGGACTTTGTCCCCAGAGACCTATTTGGTTCCACCAGAAAAAAACAAAGGTCCTAACAACTCATAATGAGACACTAGAGAAGAGGAAATGAGAGTAGAATATTGCCTTCTAAATATATC